CTACATCTCCCACCTGCACTACTCTCTCCGTCGTACTTGATTTGTTTCTATGAAACTCTCTCAAACTCGCTAAATACTCCTTCCGCCACCTGTTCCAAAAGTGGCTTAACTTGGTGCTGAGATAATTGAACCTTGCCGAACAGCTGCCCTGATTCATTGCATCGTCTGGTTCTATGACTTCATCTGGCAAGGATTTGATTCTTCTCCCATAAATTAGATGGGACGGCATTAGCACTTCTTCAATTTCATTGTACTCATAGGTCAACGGTCTCGAATTGATTGTGCATTCAACTTCTGCGAGGACGGTTGACAATTCATCGAAGGACAGCCTAGCATCGCCTAGCGTTTTCCTTAAACAATCCTTGACACTGGCTACCATTCTTTCGAAAACCCACCCCACCAGGGCGCCCTTTCGAGGTTAAATTTCCACTCTATTTTTTCACGCTCTAAATCCAATCTTATCTCCGGGTGATTGAATAGGTCATTCAATGCTCTCTCCGTTGCCTGAAACGTCTTTGCATTGTCTGATACGACCAACGCTGGCGTGCCATATTTAGCAATGAACCTTCTTAAACAACGTCTAAACGCCCCGGCTGACAAATCTTCCACTAATTCTAAGTGCACTGCCCTGGTCACGCAACATGAAAACAAGGCGATATAAACCTTGTCCACTTGCCCCGATTTACCTTTCACGTAAAGAGGTCCAGCAAAATCTACTCCCGCCCTTGAAAATGGTGGTGCTTCTCTAACTCTGAAGTCTGGAAGCGCAGCTGTTGGCCGCGTTTTGTACGGTTTCCCAACTAACTTTTTGCAAACAACGCATTCACCCACTATCTTCTTTACTACCTGCCTACCCTTTGGTACCCAGTACCTTGATCTTAGCTCAGCTAACGTGGCTCTAACTCCACTGTGATGTACTCTCTGATGACACTCTTCTATAACTAACCCTGTCAACCTGTGCTCTCGGGGCAAAATCACTGGTCTTCTGGCATCGAACTCTAGATCTGAATTGGCTAGCCTGCCTACGCATTTCAAGATTCCTTTGTCTTGTATCACCCCGAGCTCGCTTACCAGCTGCTTAAAGTTGTGCTGTCTCTTTATATTGGTTTGGCCCGACTTAATCCACTCCATCTCGGCGTGCTTCAATTCAGTTACATTTAACTTACCTTGACTTGCGCCTTGAAAACGTGCGCCGAAAAGGTCTTGCTCCTGGAACAGATCATAAAAACAGGACTTGATCATATTCTTCCTATTCAATCCCGGAGGGTGCACTCTACTGAGCCCCCTTGGATCACATCTACACTTAAAGATCTTATTCAAGCACGCCAGCGCGCCCTTTCCCGTGGGGATAATCAACAGTTTCGGGAGCTAAGGAATCGCGTGAATCGCGAACGAAAAGCGATTTGTGATTTCCGTGTATTTCAAAAGCCAAAAGACCTGGGGCAGGTTGTTGTTTAGCACTTGTAATTGGATGCTTTTAAGTGCTTAAACCCTGCATCTTCTGAAATAGTTAACAATCTTACTAATTTAGACATTTAAAAATCTTGATAATTTGATGTTTTGATGTTTGAATGTTTAAATTCATAGTACTCAGTTCATAACGTGCTGAGGTTCCCTCCTCTATATATACGCAGCCTTTGACCTTTCAGCGTCACAAAGAAGCAGAATGTCCCGCAAATTCAGTCACTTGTGAGAAATGCAACAAGGACGGAATTCCTAAAGCAAAGGTAAAATATACTCATCTCAATAACCAGGTGTAGGTTTTGTTGCCGTCATGATAAAATGAGTTAGTTCATTAAGATTTGATAACAAATGACGTTTACATTCCAAAACATCTCTTTCCATAGACAATGAGGTGATGTGCCTTTGCTTTTGCATCAGTCAAGTTTTATAAAAAAGACATCGTGGGCGTTGCGGCGAAACTTATTGATTAAACACGTTCAGTCTCATAAAAATCTATCTGAATTCGGAAAACTGGAAATCAGGGAGCAACTTGAGCTTTATTTAATAATTCACTGTTTAGCAGGTAGTTTGGCGTTTCTTTTTAAGTTTGAAAACGCACCGGAGCGACTTAGCGAATTTTCAGTATAATATTACAGACGACAGTTAAGCCCGTAATGTTTCGATGGTAACGACCAATCGAACTGCGAGGCTGTTATACTTACAAAGCTTCGTTGTTTATACTTCTGAAAATTCTCACAGTTATTTCAAATTCAATATCCAACCATGATGGACCTGAATGGAAATCAAGGACAGCGTCCGTTTTCTCAGATCGCTCGTTGCACAACTAAGGTAAAATAAGCAATATAGTTGGGTACATGTTGACTTAAACTTCACTAAAAGCTTGATTTCATTGAAAATAGTTACTCGTTCTTTCCCGAAATCCACAAAGCTTTCCATACACTCGTCTCAAAAAATATCCACACTGATAAACAAACAACTTTTGCTAAGGAAATATTTTCTAAGCACTGTTGTAGATATCTATATTTATACTTCCTGTTGTTCTTAGGGGAAAACGGCACTTTTTTCTACAACACATTTTCTACGTCTTTTTGTAGTAGGTATGGTTTTTTCTTTAAATGCATTCAAAACTTTGGTAAACAAATTAGAAAGAGGCTTAGAATGCACGCAGTCAAACCGCTTTTAAACACGGAAAATTGAATTGGTGAAAAATGATGTATGACAAAGGTGATCAGACTGATAGATGTAAATTGATTTTTAAGGTTAGCAATTATTTTTATGCTGCTACAATGAATCCTTCAGAATTCTTTCTTTTCACTGCTTTGTAAGAAGATGAATGTTTTTTACATGGCGGTAGGCATACTTGGACGGCAGCGATGGTGACGAAGACGATGATGACCCTAACGAGGTTAATAACCAGGACGACCATGATGACAATGACGACGACGCTGATGATGAAGACGATGACGATGGCGACGACCATGATGATGNAGTGTGCTGTAGTCGCTCACGTCAACCACAGCGGCGATGCTAGTTTTTTGGTTCGTTCCTGTCAACATTACCACTTGGATCTTCTTTTCTTCTTCGCTGGTCTCATGCGTTCTAAACATCTCCGACATTCTCGGCCACTCTTACGATTTTCCCGATAACCATCGTGGCCCATGCCACCAGAGTTTTCTTCTTTCAGTTGTGATGCGATCACTCCTCTAGAACCAATGTCAGCTGGGTTCTCTTCTGTTGGACAATACGACCAGTCTTCTTTGTTGCTCAACTTCAGGATTTCATTAACTCTGTGGCGCACGAATTGTTTCCACTCTCCTTTATTTTGTATCCAGCTGAGCGCCGTTTTGCTGTCTAGCCAGTACCTTCCACCATCCACTTTCAACTGCGACAGTAACGCATTCCTAATCGTGCTCATAAGTTGCGCAAGTATTCTCGCCGACATCAACTCTAAGCGTGGGATCGTAAGCTCCTTTAAAGGGTCAACCCTAGTTTTGGTCGCAACTAATCTGACATGGGTTTTCCCGCATTCAGTGTGGTATACAAGGTAAACCATGGCACAATACGCCTTCTTGCTGGCATCCCCAAACCCATGCAAATAACACTCCGTCACGCGCTCGTCCCTCGTTTCGTAAAGGCACCTACTGATTTGAATTTCTCG